GGTCGAGGCTGCGGTGGCCAGGAGCGGTCACTGCACTCCAGTCTGGGCGATAGAGTGAGATGCCAACTCAAGGAAAAAAAATAATAAATAATAATAATAAATAAATAAATAATACTTTCATAGTAAAAATTTTACATATATGTATAAATAAATAAACGTGTTAAAGACTTGAGAAGTAAAGTCATATTTCTAACTTTCCAAACAACATATCAATGATAAATTTATGTGAGAAATATATACGTAACATGCTCAACAATTTTATTATCTGTTACAGATGAATCATACCATCTAGGGGTCTTTTGTCAATGTGCTTCATTATAAAAAGTATAAAGAAAGGCAAGCCAATTTTATCCCATTGACAATTTCTGAATTACCAAGTAATCTAAATCAAAAGTTCACCAACATTTGTGTCTCAATATCTCTATTCACAAACCTGAGATGTAAATTCAACGGGCCATTTTAATAAATAATGTAAGCAATCACTGAAATACATTTAGCCAAGAAATACTTAATTTGGCTAGGCATGGTGGCTCACGCCTGTAATCTCAACATTTTGGAGGCTGAAGTGGGAGAACTGCTTGAGTCCATGAGTTCAAGACAAGCCTGGGCAACACAGCAAGACAATCTTGTTTCTACAAAACATCAAAAACATTAGCCAGGTGTGTGGTGGCATGTGCTTGTAGTCCCAGCTACTCGGGAGGTTGAGATAAAAGAATTGCCTGGGACCAGGAGGTCAAGGATGCAGTGAACCATGATCATGCCATTGCACTCCAGCCTGGGTGACAGAGTGAGGTCTAGACAAAAAAAAAACCAAAACAGACATACTTAATTTGGTCTTTGTTGGTATGACCATATATTACCGACAGCTTTATTTATTTATTTATTTTATATATTTTTTATTATAAAGATGTGGGGTATAATTCAGAATTAGGTATACAAACGTTGATTATGCAGGTACCCTTGTATTACTGACAGTTTTAATATGTTTACATGCTCAATATGCCTAATGTAGGAATAACAACAGTATATTACGGTCAACTGTCAACTAAAAATTCATGAGTAAAGCAGAGATTATAGAATACCTTATAACTAGACTTTTCCATTCATGGCCTTCCTCATTTAAAATGTTAATATTTTGAAATGGGTTTCCTATCATAATTTTTTGCCTAAAATTTCATGGAATGCAAGACTAACATCCACCATGCAACCTTTATTTATTTATTTATTTGAGTTGGAGTCTCACTCATCGCCCAGACTGGAATGCAGTGGCACGCTCACAGCTACCGCAGTTTTGACCTGCTGGGCTCAGGTGATCCTTCCGCCTCAGTCTTCCAAGTAGCTGGAACTACAGGTATACGCTATCACGCCCAGATAATTTTTTGATTTATTGTAGAGACGAGGTCTCCCCAAGTTGTCTAGCCTGGCCTCGAACCTCTGGGGCTCAGGCAATCCTCTCACCTCCGTCTCCCAAAGTGTAGGGATTACTGGCTTGAGCAAGAAAAAAAAAATCCATAATGATGAAATATAGGGCAGGTGTGAGCCATATATGTATTGTATATGCATATAATATATAAACAATGTATTATACATATACAAATGGAGAACCTTCCCCCACCAAAAAAGAAAAACAGGAATTATTTTTTTGGAGGGTGGGACCCTTACAGTATAGGCTTCCCCCACTAGGTAATTGTTATAGGAACCCACCAGCATCAGTGTATCAGGTAGCGTTGTTATGGGAGGCCGCATTTGGTTTCAGTAAATTTTTTTCTGGAGACTTTATTGATGCATTTCATGATGGTAAATCCCATTGTAAATTCATAGACTTTTCCCCACCCATTTCATGGACTTTTTTTTGTTTCCCCAGATGAAAAAAGACAATCTTCAAAGGGATATGTTTGGCTGATGTGGAAGAGATGAAACCAAAAAATGGCAGAAGCACTAAAAGGCATAAAAATTAACAAGTTCAAAAACTGTTTTCAGCAGCAGAAAAAAGCATCTTGAGCCGGGATTGGTGGCTCAGCCTATAATCTCAGCACTTTGGGAGGCTGAGGAAAGTAGACTGCCTGAGCCCATGGGTTCAAGACCAGCCCAGGCAACTTGGCAAGACCTCGCCTCTACAATAAATCAAAAAATTAGCCGGACGTGGTAGTGCACACCTGTAGTTCCAGCTACTTGGAATGCTGAGGCGGAAGGATCGCTGGAGCCTAGCAAGTCAACAATGGGGTGGCCATGAGTGTGCCACTGCACTCCAGCCTGGGCAGCAGAGTGAGTCTCTAACTCAAAAACAAAACAAAACAAAAAAAAGGCCAGGCTCAGTGGCTCAGCTTGTAATCCCAGCACTTTGGGAGGCCAAGGCGACTGGATTGCCTGAGCCCATGGGTTCAAGACCAGCCCAAGCAACTTGGCAAGACCTCATCTCTCCAATAAAATAAAAATAGCCAGGTGTGGTAGCCTGTGCGTTTGTAGTTCCGGCTACTCAGAAGGATGAGGCGGAAGGGTCACTGGAGCCCAGAAGGTCGACATTGGAGTGGCCATGAGCGTGCGTGCCACTGCACTCCAGCCTGGATGAAGGAGTGAGACTTCAACACACACACAAAAAGGGGCATCTCGATAGGTATATTGCATCAGATGAAGAGTGCTTTAAAGGTGACTAAAGTTTAAACATATAAGAATAAATGCACAATTTTTTATAAATAAATTATGGGGGGTTTTTTTGAGGGGGAGGAAGGTCCTCTCTGTATGGAAGTATATACATTATGTACAAATAAAATACCACCTACCATTTAGTTAAAAAAAGAATTTTATATTAATAGAATAAAGACTAGGTCTGACTGTGTTGCCCAGGCTGGTCTGGAACTTCTTGTCTCAAGCAATCCTCCTACCTTGGCCTCCCAAAGAGCTAGGATTACAAGTGTGAGCCACTGAGCCCAGCCCATGCAATCCACGCCATCTTTATATATGTACATGGGTAACAAACTCAAAACCAAACCACATACAGTTATAATAATCACTTGCTTTTTCCTACATGACATTAAATGTTAACGAACCACAAAAGGAAAAGTTGTTTTCACTACAAAGTATATAATTTAAGTTGCCCAGTCTATATCATTCCTCAATAGTAGAGAGGAAACAAAATTTTACCTGTAGAGCGTACAGGAAGATTCTGAACTTTGATCCCAAAACTTTTACGGGGCTCATCTTTTTCCAGGGATGAAAGCAACTGGGAAGTGGGTGCTGGCACCGCTGCAGATTGAACTGATCGGGCTGGAGAGTCATCACTTGAACTACTGCTGGAATCACTGCTGCAGAAAGGCAACACCAGCACACTTTAGTGGGAAGACATACAGAAAATGAGTAGCATTATAAAACTTCTTAAAACTGACAAGCAGTAACAACTAGCAGGTCTAAACTTTAGGACTGGTATTTCTCGAGGCCCTACATTCTCCACATAAACCACATACTCTACCTTCAGAAGGCAGAAGACAATAAACACACAGAAGCAAAAGTAACATTCTTTTACCACCACATGTCACCAAGGCAAGTGTTGGATTCTATAAAAAGTTGAAACAGTTTTTTCCAAATGAAATAAGACTAGTGAATGCAATTCACTTAATGTAATAATAATAAAATAGTGGATATATGGCTTTTGGATTCAGTGATCTAGAGTCAAATCTTAGCTCAGACATACAACACAATATCCTTGGGCAAATCACTTAACATGTTGCTAAGCCTCAGTAAAATGGGTTTCCTATAATTATTTGAAGCGAGTTTCCTATAATTTTATTCCCAAAATGTTACTGCTTATAACACAAGACTCTAAGCCAACATAAGTCTAAATGAAAACAGCATCAGCATTTCTAAAACTTCATCATACCATATTCTCCCCAATACTGAATGTGTAAAATGGAAATTATGATTACAATAATACCTATCTCCAAGTTGAGAATAAAATAACCCACAGGTTTAAAGAGTTTAGAATATGACAAGCATTCAGTAAATAAAGCAGCACCGCTCTGTGACTACTAGTAGGAGTAACACTACTAACTCATGAGTAAATTAGTTTTTGGAAAAATAATATCGAAAATAATTTCCAGGTAATTTTAATCTTCAAATTTTTGAAGGGCTAATAAAGAAATATTATGAGGCCAGGCATGGTGGCTCATGCCTATAATTCCAGCACTTTAGGAGGCTGAAGCAAGAAGGTTGCCTGAGCCCACGGGTTCGAGAACAGCCTGAGCAACTTGGCAAGACCTCCTCTCTACAATAAATCAAAAAATTAGTCAGACATGGTGGGAGCGCCTGTAATTCCAGCTACTTGAAAAGTTGAGGCAGAAGGATTTCCTGAACCCAGCAGGTGGAGGCTACGACAGCCATGACCATGCCACTGTACTCCAGCCTGGGTGACAGAGTAAGACTCCTACTCAAAAAAAAAAAAAAAAAGAAAAATATTATATAAGTTCAGTTACTAGAAACTATTCAGGCTTTCTTCCTTGTGGATAATGTGGGGAAATAAGCGTTAATGACACTGAATTACTCTCTTCAATTTAATAAAATCCTCAAAGGAGACAATTGATAGACAAGAAAAAAATTTTACCCACATAGTCAGATTAAGAAAGGAAACTGTTAGCCAGGCATGGTGGCTCATGCTTGTAATCCCAGACTTTGGGAGGCGGAGGCAAGAGGATGGCCTGAGCTGAGGGGTTCGAGATCAGCCTGAACAACATGGTGAAACCTTGTGTCTATAATAAGTAAAAAATCAGCCGGGCTTGGTGGCTCAGCCTGTAATCCCCCCGCTTTGGGAGGCTGAGGTGAGTGGACTGCCTGAGCCCATGGGTTTGAGACCCATCTGGGCAACTTGGTGAGACCTCATCTCTACAATAAATCAAAAAAATAAGCCGGG